TGTCCATCAGCCACCACTTCTCCCTGCCTGCACCCCTCTCCGCTGGCTGCCGACTCCTCCCTTCTTACTGGTCTGGATGAATGGTTTGTTGTTATCGGACTTCAGTACAGGTCAGTTTTCTGTCTGTTTTGGTTGTGTGTTTGTTTCTAAATCTTTGTTGTCCTTAAATTTGATTGTGCGAGGAGGTACAGTATTTCCACCTACACCTCCATCTTGGCTGGAAGTGCTCTATTTTCTAATTTTTGTGTGTATGCAACCAATATTTGGTAGTTGAGGTGGCAGTAGGAGACCTGGGTCATTTTGTTTAATGACCAGCTGTGGCCAGTACCTTTTCTGGCCTCAGTGTAGAAATGCGAAGTTTGTACTACATCATTTCCAATGGACTTTTGATTCTGGAATCCACTTATAATGTTAGGATTAAATTTGTAATTTATAAAGCAAAAACAAGTGTAGCCCACTAGAGGGAGCTCTGTCCTTTTTAATGTTCTCAAACAATTTTATTGAAAAATAGATCTTTCATAGGAAAATGTATAAATGGTAGCTGAACAACCTATATAAGAAGGCAAAATGAACCTCTGTTGACCCACACTTTGCATCATTTCCTCAGAGGTCATTCATATTTTGATTTCTGTCTTAATCATAGCCTTGCTTCTCTTTATTGTTTTAACACTTACTCTTGGATCCTTAAACAATTTATTGATTCATTTCTGAAATATTTTTCTCTTTTGAATTTTATATAAAGCATACTAAAGAGTCTTTATTCTTCTCTCACTTGTTCTTTTATTTCTTATGATTTTTTTAGATTCATCCAGTTGGTTGATATGTTTAATGACTGTGAGCTTTTCTCATCTGTATTCTGTGGTGTTACATCAATACACCACAATCTGTCCTCCTCTTAGTGGTGATTTGGGCTGCTTTCCGTATTTTACTTTAGGCTCCCATGAATATTTGTGGGTATGTTTCCTTTCACACATGTGCAAGTGTCTCTAGGGTGCCTAGAGTTACCTTGAAGTGGAGTCAGTTTAGAGGACATGTACATGTTCAGCCTTGTGGGGTAACGGCATCTGTTTTCCATTGTGGGTATGCTCACTTTTATTCTAGTGGTAGAAAATGTTTGATGTTGAGTAGCTTTAACTTTTTTCCAGTCTGTTAAGTGTGAAATGCTGTCTCCTTGTGATGGTATTTTGATGAGTTAATGTATTATATTTTGCTCATTTTTTTTTTTGTCAAAAATTTAGAAAAAGCTCATTTAGCAGTTTGCCCCTTACCCATATGCCATCAGTTGGGCTGGAGAATTCACTTCCGAGACGGCGTCTTTCTCTGCTCACAAACATGGTGGTTCTGGCGTCTGGCACACGGAGTTGGTCTTCTGTATGCCAGGCTCTGCCTGCCACCCAGGGTGACTCCACTGGCTTTAGTGTTTAATTTCATTTGTATTTTGGAATTATTTGGAAATAATTGCCTTGGTAACTTAAATACCAAAAATTTAAGCTATCTTTCAGTTTATTTATCTTTAACTTGATTTAATGATTTGCAGACCTCATTTTGTTTCTTACTGACTCAAAACTGACCTTTCAAATAAAGTGCAGTTATTGGATGTTCTTTTCAGAGATGATGATATTCAGCTTCTCTCCATCAGTCATCTTTTTTCAAGTCTATGGTGACTGCTTCTGAAATGTTTCTCCATAGTAGTCTTTATTTGTGATTCTCCTGATTCACCTCGATGAAACTTTTCTTTGTAAACTATAGACATTTTTAAATTCTTTACTTCTGCAGTTGCCTTGGGAATAAGATCTTTTTAAAAAATATATATTATTTATTTATTTATTTTTAGAGAGAGGGGACAGGAAGGAGAAAGAGTGGGAGAGAAAAATCAATGTGTGGTTGCCTCTCATGTGTCCCCCACTGGGGACCTGGCCCACAACCCAGGCATGTGCCCTGACCGGGAATTGAACCAGCGACCCTTTGCTTCACAGGCCTGTGTTCAATCCACTGAGCTACACCAGCCAGGGCAGAAATAAGATCTTTATAATTAATTTGAGTTATTTTTTTCTATGGATATCATGGAAAAGTTTCAAGCCTTTATTTTGGCCTAACTAAATAAAAAGTCAGTAAAAAGCTAACTGTCAACATTAAGCACTAGCATTCTTGTGTTGCTTTATCAGTGCAATGCGATGTCGTTTATTGTTTTCTAATAAGCTAACATAAAAAGGTCTTCTGAGGAAAATACATATTAATGACCTTTCTGTTGTTCTTTATCAGTTATGATCTAGGCCAGTTTTTTTAAAGATTTTTTAAAATTTATCTTTAGAGGGGAAGGGAAGGAGAGAGGGAGAGAAACATCAATGTATGGTTGCCTTTTGTGTGTCCCCTGCTGGGAACTGGCCTGCAGGGAACCGGCCTGCAACCCGGGCATGTGCCCTGACTGGGAATCGACTCTTGGTTGTCTGGTTTGCAGGCCCGCGCTCAGTCCACTGAGCTACACCAGCCAGGGCCTGATCTAGGCCAGTTTAAAGAGAGTTAGATTATATTTAGCCTTGTATGTGTTAGTTCAGGAGCGATGCTGCTGATATCTAGGAGAGTTAGGAGCCCAGGGTTATTAAAAGGCAGAATAAGGACACTGGACAGCTTTCCACCTCCTTTGAGATCGGTTTCTAAATGGAAGCTTCAATCTCATTGTGAAGTGTTGGGTATTTCAGGGAAGGAGGATTAATCTTTATTAGAAGTAGTTATAAAAATGACTATTAGGCCAAATGATTTTTGTTCTAATATATGCTTGCTTAGCAGGAATTAATGAAGATTCATCTATCAGTAATTTGTATTTGCATACTTATCTACAAATTCCAGCTGCAGTTATGAGGCAATCAGGATTTTGAGCTAAGTGAAAAAAATGGCTTACCCAAGCATCTCATTAAGAACGTATTTAATCATGAAATTCAAATGATAACAGAACAAGTTTTATTTATTTAAAAACGTGTTAGGCTAGGTGGCAGGCAGGTTCATCTGTCCACCTGCAGGAGGCAGTCAGTTCCTCCTGCCGTCCCATCGAGAGGGACAGCCCTGGGCCTGGGCTGCTTCCCCCAGAGGGATTCGGGGATCCCCAGGGCCCAGGAGGAGGAGGAGGCCACGTCGTTGAGGTGCGGAGGAAGGGCGCATCCAGGGGGCCCCACCAGGTGTCCAGCCTCAGCCCTCAGTGGGATTCCCTGGACCTGTGATCACCGAGGGGGCCCCTGTGCCTCTTCCCAGTCCCTCCCCTAACCCCACCACTGTCCTGCTACCTACCACCGTGGCCCTGAAGAGAATCCACGAGGAGTTTAACGGACCTAGCACAGGAGTCCCAGCCCCGGCTCAGCACAGTGTTCTGCAAGTCCTGTTGGAGATAGGTTCCTTCCTCAAGGTGCAATGATGGAGACAAAGGACAGTCCCTGTCAGGGTGGAGTACTTTTCTTGTCAATGCATTTCCCAACAGAGTACTCCTTCAAACTACCGAAGCCAGCATTTACAACACGAATGTATCATTCAAATATTAACAGTAACAGTATCGTTCGTCTGGATTTTCTGTGGTCACAGTGGTTTTATGCATTGACTTTCTGAAGGACTCTTGTCCACCTGTTCTCTGCTGTGCGATGGTAATCCAGACGATCCCTTGGTGCCTGAGAGTGCTCGGGCCTACAAACCTGATGGAGACGAATACAACAGAGTAGCTCAGGGACGGACTCAGAAGTGTGCAATCTAATGAAAGAAATTATTGGATAGCCTCTACAAATAAAGATAGGGGAACTCGGAAACAAGAAGGTCTTTTGATTTCCATATAAGAAGTGACTGCTTTCTATGAGCTCTTGCCTCATCTTCTGTGCGCATGTTTACCTGATACAGCCGTGCTGCTGTGCAGGCTTATTACAAGAAACTAGAAACACTGTGCTTCTGGACGGGCATTGCCCCCTGGCGGAGAAGTGTGTGTGTGTGACAAACCAGTTCTCCAGGTTTAACCCAGGTTTGGAACTCAACGCGTTCCTGTTGACTTAAATTTGGGTAAGGGCAAGGTGAGGGGCGGTGGGTATGGGGTGCGCTTGGATGGGGGAAGACAGCTCCACTGTTCTGTAGGAGATGGTTTTTAGATGGAATGAATACTTTTACTCTGAAGACAGATGTTAAGAAGGGGTGGGGGTGGATTGGGTAAAAGAAGGTGAAGGGATTAGCTGAAGACCATATGCATGGCCCATGGACACGGACAATAGTGTGGTGAAGGCGGGAAAGGGGAAAATGTAGGCTTTCGTAATAGTGTCAACAATAAAAAAGTGAACAACAACGAAAAACAGGGCAAAGAACACAAAGCTATTTCTGTATTCATTTTGTGGTGAAGGACCTATGCCTTAGGTGAAAGTTATGACCAATCAGATTAAAATCTACCCATATCCTGCATTTTAAGGTCTAAGTTTGACGGCACTGAACCCATTCGTACATAGAGTGTGATGGGCTATGTTCCCACTTTTTAACGTCTCCCAGCCCTCTACCCTTTGTCCTTTCAGCCTCCTGTTCTCGCTTCTGTTTTCTTTGGTTTGTATGTGGTTTCTCAGTTGATACATAGCTAGTACCTCTTATTTTTCTTATGGTTTTAACTGCTTAGATCTCCTTGGATGGGAGGGTGAAAATTTATTTGATGGAAATACTTGTATATATTTAAAGTTCCTGTTGCTCCTCTGGAGTTTGCATGTTCAAAAATGATTAATCTCTGTAATAAACTCATTACTATAGTCATAGGAAATGTGTCACATTTTTTCTTTATAAATGTCATTTGATGGGCACGATGAAGAATATTTTTTTAAATTATGTATTGTTGGGTATAATTAGCCCTGTATAATGACTTGGTTAAGTATAAACTCATTTATTATATGGAGTTTGCTGTTATATGAGTTTTCAAGGATATAAGAAGTGACTGTGTTCAAATACCCGTGTCTTCCATTGACTACAATAATGGAGGTTTTCTTCTTGGTTTTTAGATTTCCTCTTTCCTCACCCCTGAAACCATATCCAAAGAAGCCCCCGTGCCAAAGGGATGCTATTAAATTTCCCCAGTGGACTGACCCCCTACCGGGCACTTCACAAGAGAACATCCCAGTGAGGCCGATTGTGATGGTAAGTGTCACTGCTACCGGGCGGGGCGGCGGGCGGGGCGGCGGCAGGGAGAGTGAGCAGTGGTCTGGGAACCTCCAGGCTCAGCCCAGTTCCCTCTGTCAGTTCCTCGTTGTGAACTCTGGTCCGAAAGTACTTCAGAGCAATATCTTACCTGTCAGTAGCTGAGAGACCAGTCACAAAGAAAGACTGGGTTTTGCTTTTTTTTTTTTTTGCTCTTATGTATTGACATTTTGACCAAATATATGGTAGCTGTTTTCATATGTTCAGACCAAGCAGTTTTTTGTTAAAACTCCCTTATTATCTCCTTTTCCTTTCTGTTCTGTAAGTTGCTGTTTTTCCTGTTTGTCTCCTCCTTCTAAACTTTATGACCAATTGAGAGTGAGAAGGTTGGGATATGGAGTGTTATGGAATGAGCTGTACACAAAATATGAACAAAGGAAGCCCTGGCCGGGTGACTTAGTTGGTTGGAGCATCACCCTGTTCACCAAAAGGCTGTGGGTTCGGTCCCTGTTTGGGTGCATATAGCAGGAAACCAATCAATATTTCTCTCTCACATCGATGCTTCTCCTTCCTCCCCCACCCCTCTAAAACCAGTAAACATATCCTTGGGTGAGCATTAAAAAAAAGAAAAATATATAAAAATATATAAACAAAGGTAGAATCTGCTAGTGTTGGAAAACCTAAGCTCATTGAACTCCTTTTTGGGGGACATACTTTTTCTTTGAAATATCCCCATAAAGACTACCAAGATGGAAATAATGCTTAAAAAATAAAATACCAAGAAAAATTTTGTATAGCAGTTTTTTAATTTTTATTTTCTTGATTATGCCATTACAGTTGTTCTATTCCCCCCCTTCATTCCCCTCTACCCTGCCCCCCTGTCCCCACCATTCCCCTTTAGTTCATGTTCATGTGTCTCAAGTTCTTTAGATTCTATATTTCCCATACTATTCTTGCCCCCCCCATTTTCACCCCACTGTCTATGCTACTTATTCTCTGTGCCTTCTCCCACACTTTTCCTCCTCCCACTGCCCTGTTGCTAACCCTCCATGTGATCTTCATTTCTATGGTTCTGCTCCTGATCTAGCTGTCCTCTTAGTTTGCTTTTGTTTTAGGTGTGGTTCTTAATAACTGTGAGTTTGCTGTCCTTTCACTGTTCATCTGTTTTATCTTCTTTTTCTTAGGTAAGTCCCTTTAACATTTCATATAATAAGGGGTTGGTGATGATGAACTCCTTGAATTTGATCTTATCTGAGAAGCACTTTATCTGTCCTTCCATTCTAAATGAAAGATTTGCTGGATAGAGTAATCTTGGTTGTAGGTCTTTGGATTTCATGACTTGGAATAGTTGTTTCCAGCTCCTTCTTGCCAGTAAGGTCTCTTGAGAAATCAGCTGACAATCTGATGGGAACTCCTTTGTAGGTGACTGTCCCCTTAGCTCTTGCTGCTTCTAGGATTCTCTCTCTCATTTTAATCTTGGCTAATGTAATTATGATGTGCCTTGGTGTGTTCCTTCTTGGGTCCAACTTCTTTGGGACTCTCTGAGCTTCCTGGATTTCGTGGAAGTCTATTACTTTTGCCAGATTGGGGAAGTTCTCCTTTATTATTTATTCAAATAAGCTTTCCACTCGTGGCTGTTCCTTTCCCCCTTCTGGTACCCCTGCAATTCGGATGTTGGAGCATTTAAAGATGTCCTGGAGGTTCCTAAGTCTCTCCTCATTTTTTTGAATTCTTGTTTCTTCATATTTTCCTGTTTGGTCATTTTCTTCCTTCCTTCTGGTTCACTCCCTTGATTTGAGTCCCAGTTTCCTTTTCATCACTATTAGTTTCCTGTGCATTTCCATTCATTTCAATTAGTTTAGCCTTTATGTGTTCCTCTAATTTGTGACTAAAATCAACCAGTTCTGTGAGGATCCTGATCACCAGTGTTTTGAACTGTGCATCTGAAAGTTTTGCTATTTCTTCATTGCTTAGAGTTATGGGCTCTGGGGCTTTGAGATCTTCTTGAGCCATTTTGGTCTGTTTGTGCCCATTAAGTATGAGGAGGGAAGCCTTAGGGGTGGGGCGGGGCCACTAGGGTGGGGTCGCTGGTTTGTGATACTGTATGTGGGGGCGGGGTCAGAGAGGGACAATAGCGGTCCCCTCTGCTGCTTCCCACCGCTGGGGCCTGCTCCTTTCATCTCACCGCCCACTCCCTTGCCAGTCTATCTGTGCAGGAATGTGCCACCGCAGTCAGCCCGCCGCCCTGCGCCCTCCCTGAGTCTGCCCATTGCAACCCCACGCCTGGGATCTGCGCCTGAGTCCATCTGACCGAGTTTTCCTGTGCAACCCCACTCTGTCAGCTGGTGGCTTTGCCCCTCTTACTGCTCAGGCTGAAGAATTCGTTGTTATCAGACTTCTGAAAAGTTCAATTTTCTTTGTTCTGGCTGTGTTTTCTGTTACTAATATTTTATTGTCTCTAAACTTGGTTGTGTGAGAAAGCATGGCGTCTCCACCTATGCCTCCATCTTGGCAGAAGTTCTTTGGTTGCTCTGTATAGCAGTTTTTAGGACTTGGAATAATACTGTTACCGAACAAGAGGTCCGAGGAGGGGGCAATATTTGGCCCACTCAGGGATGCCAAAAACTGCTATAGAACAAGGGGCCTCTCCCAAGGACAGAATACTAATATCTACTGGGCTCTTCTGTCCGCTGCCAATTGGAAAGACATCTCTCAATGCAAGAGATTTGTGAAAAGGAAACAAAATATTTATTTAATGCTATTTAGGCTTAATGCCTCCACCAAAATATCAAAGTCCTTTAGGGTATACACCTACACCCACACAGAGCTCCTTTCTCCCGCTGTCCCAACTCCGGGTACCGTAAATCAGGAAAGGAGCACACGTCTCTGTTTCAGGCTGCTGGCACCGTCAGCTGTGTCACTGTGCAGGATCTTGAGTTAATCCAAAGTTTTGTGCACTCTCTCATGGTCCACTGGCAAGAGTTCCTTTGTACCCAGTTATAGTCAAAGTCTCTCTCGCTTTCCAGGCCACGCGGCCAAAGGAGGCACCCCAAAGCCGCGTGGGCCTCTTCTACCAAAGCTGCAGGGGTTCGCACTCCACCAAAAGCATGTGGCTTTCTTCTTCACCTGGCTGCAGGGATCTCCATTCTGGCAAAGCTGCGTGGTTTTCCCCCTCACCTGGGAAAGAGGGGGTCCGCACCCTGCCAAAACCACGTGGCTCCCTCTTTTGCCTCACCAAGAGGGGATCCTCACTCTGCTGAAACCGTGTGGCTCTCCCCTTAATGGCTGCCGTGTCTGGCTTTTAAATCCTCGCACCCATATTCCTCTGTACCCCTATTTCCGACTCCTCCAAAGATCAGTTACACCTGCCAGTATTTCTGTATTATTACAAGTTTACTGGGCTGCCATTGTTAGTCTGGGCAGTTATCATCCCATGTCCTAGAGCCAATCTTCTTCAAGCTCCCATGTAGGCGCTGTAACTTGGGGGACCTGCCCCCAGTTACATCTTGGGGAAAGTGACTTCAGCCCCCTAGCTCCAAGCCTGACCACAGCCATTTAACATATCCAAGTGACCTGCCAAAGGCTATGGATATGTTAAATGACCCTGCCATGGATTAGCTGCAAGGCTGTGGCTGTACAAAACAGCCCTGCATGTTCCTGCTCCATGTGTCCCTTCCTCCAACTCACACCTGTGGGGGGAAGGGGTGAGGACATCTTATATGTCTCTCCAATATTCCTATACACTTTGATTTCTGGACACCATTCCAAATCTTTTTTTGGGGCCCCCCCTTGGCTGCACCCTGTATCAATACCAATGTTTTAAGTTAATCTAGTCTCATAGAACTTGATGTCCAGTTCATACTTTTGTTTGCAAAGGTTTGATTTAAACATTTTTTGGCTGGGTAACGAAAAGAAAAGTTACCTGAAGAGGTTGTATTGTATCTTGGTGGGAACAGTTAAGCAGCTTAAGCTTTGTCAAAAGATAAAGTGACAAGAAAAAGTGACACCGTTGACAGAAATGGGGACTCCGTAAGGGCTTGCAGATGTGTCAGGGGCAGTGATGAATTTGGTTTTCAATGTGTTTGATGATAAAGTTGGGTTGTGTTAAAGGGAAGTGTCTAATGGGCAGATGGAGAGAACAGCGCTGGGACTTGGAGGAGAGGCCCTATTTGGAAGTCATTGGTTTTTTTGTTTGTTTTTGTTTTTGTTTTTTTAATTTTAATTTTTATTTTTTATTGATTATCTTTTTTTTCCCCTCATTCACCCCCCTCCTTCCCCTTTGTTTTGTTCTCAAGTCCTTGGTTTTTCCATCTTTTTTTTTGTCTATGCTGCTTATTTTCTGTACCTTCTCCCCCCATCTCCTCCTCCCACTCCCCTGTTGCTATTCACTCGACAATGATGTATTAAGTGTCTGTCGTGAATCATGCATTGTGCTAGGCTCTGCAGATACAATGCTATGCCATACAATTTTGCTCTAAAATGGCTCAAAGTCTAGTGAAGCATACAATACAAAAATAGATTATTAGGAAATAAAGTGGAAATACTCTGAAAGAGAGAGTACAAAGGATATTTGAGGGCTATTTAATTAACTCCTAATGAGGAGTACTTAATTAAGGTCTACTTGATAGTCCCTATCCAGAGAAAATTAAATTATAAGCTCTATGAAATGAGGTACATTGTTTTTTGCACGTTCATGTTTAAATACCTCATTGGTGGACCCTGTCAGCAGACTTGTTATTCAGCAGACATTTTTTTATTATGAGGTCACCCAGTGTTGTTTATACAAAAGAGATAAAATCCCGTATTAAATGAATGTGTATCTGTGGCATCAATATAACTTCCTTTTTCTATTGTGTGTGTTTCTGTGAAGTTGTAATATTCCTGGTATTACCTCTGGGAAAACCACCTGCTCATCAGCACACTTGAATGCACTAATGACAGTGACTTCTATCTTATAATTTTCAACTGAAACTTTTGAGGAGCCCTGAAGTGGTAGAGCAGTGTTTTGAGTCATCAGCCATTGCCCCGCCCCCCACCCGTGTATCCTTTTCCTGGTCATCTGACTGCATTTCTTTTGATAACTGTTGTTTTGCCTTTTCTTATACTTCCCCCTTATATGAAGTGGTAGAAGTTTGGAAGCTCTCTGCTCATTATAATTCCATGAAAGTCTACACAGCTTCTTCTTGAGAATTGTCCCAAGAGGGAATGGCAGAGCAAGATCTCTTTCCCTTGACAGAAGTTTTAGAATGATGAGGTTAATAGTTAATAGAGAAACAGTTCATCTTCCTTAAAGAACTTGAGTTAATTATTCATTTATTTCTTTTCCTCTTTCTGACTCTGCTTCCACTTTACTAGTTGATTTTGGTTTTTGTTTTGTCCTATCTTCTCCCTTGCCTTTATATCAAATAAAATGAAATGCACAAAATTATTTCTTGCATTTGCTGAGGGGACAGTACCATGTGTGCTGTGGAGCCACACTGTTGGGTTGAATCTTGGCTCCTCCTTTACTAGCTATTGAGCTTGTTTCTGTTTCATCGACCGGGTTTGTGTCTCAGTTTCTTTTCAGTGGAACTGGGAAGGTGCACCCCTCTGGGGTGAGGTCATTGTGATAAGTGAGTTCTCACACGGACTCAGTAACTTAACTGCTATTTCTATTATTAATGTGTTCCGTAGAATTGTTTGCAGCAGAGACAAAAGGAAAAAAATTACCCATAGTATCCAGAGAGAATTGATATTGTTTGTTGTGTGTCTCTCTGAGCTTTAGTTTCGCTCCCTGCCATCTCCCGCTGTCCTCGTGGGGTCCTCGTTTCACCTGCCTGTTGCGGACGCCAGCGATCTGGGGCTGCTGTTCAACATTGTACTTGTTTGATCTTTGCTTACAGAAAACCAGAGAATTCTTGAAATTAATATAATTTTATTTTAAACAGTCATTTAATTAGGAAAGTGTGTGAATTTGGATAGGTATCCCTTTACTTAAGTTTGAAATAATACATTTGATTTCGCTGTTGCCTCACTGAGTGTTTGGGACCCCCCCAGGAAATGTCATGCTTCCAGTTGTAGCCGTCCTGCAGTTCTTGAATGTTCACTAACAACACGACCTGATTTTTAACAGTCATACTTTATTTCTCTGCAGTCCATACAAGGAAAGTTAGTTTATATTTGCTATTATTTTAAACCAAATTAAAGAAATTTCTCATAAAGCCTTACCACTGTCTACTGAAGTATTTATTCTCTTTCTTTTCACTCCCCTCCCCACTATTAGAACTCCGAGATGTGGTACAAGCGTCACAGTATTGCTATTGGAGAGGTGCCGGCGTGCCGTCTTGTCTACCGCAGACAGCTGACAGAGGCCAACGTGGAAGAGATATGGAAGTCTATGACGTTATCATAGTATGTGCATTTGACATTAATGAGACTTTTTTGTGATTTTTTTCTAATTTGCTTTTCCACTATTTTTGGCATATTTAGTTTTCTGAACTCATGTATAAAAATCTCAACTTTGTATTATTTGCATTCATGCTCCTTATTAAACATAATTTAATTTAATTCTGGGTATTTCCTATGTCATTTATATAATAGTTAAGAATAGACATTTGAAAGTTCTTAAACTTTCTAGAAACTCTGAACTCTTAAGTTAATGAAACACATAATGGGAAATTTTGACTTTTAGATGTTAGATGTACTACAGGTAATTAAAGTTAATGGTGTTAGGGCAGGCTTTTTTTTCTCATAAAGATGTAGCAGTTTCTCATCATTGGATAAGCTAATTTTTGTTTTTATAATGTGTTATAAAATCATTTTTGACATTCATGCTGTTATGTTATTAAATTAGTGAAGCAATATGTCAATGGCAAAATGACATTTTTAAAATGTGTTCTATCATACTCAATTTCTAGCTTTTTTTCCCCTCACAAATATTGGGTGAAATGCATAAAAATAACACATCTTAAAGATTGATTTTTTTTACAGTACCAGTTTTTTTGGTAAATAATGATTTTTTTTAAAAGTAGCTAGCTAATGTAATTATTATCTTTTTAGTTTACAGAAAATCCTTGGCCTGGATTCCTTAGAAGAAGTTTTAGATGTCAAACTTGTCAAGTCCAAGTTCATCATACATAATGTATATAGTGTGAGCAAGCAGGGAGTTGTTATCCTTGATGACAAGTCAAGTAAGTGCATAAAACTATTTTGTTTCTGGTTGATCAGTGTGTTGGTGCACAGTTCTCTCACCTTCTACTTGACACTTCCCTAAACCTTAAATAAATTTACCCCTCATTACACATAGCCTCCTGTCACATCCTAATATGTTTTACTGAGTGCTCGGATTAAAGAAATGTCATAGAATGATGAATGCTCAGGAGCGAAAACCTCAGCACAATCCATCCAGAGACTAGGCCAGTGTTTGCTACACTGGGCATGAGGTGGTTCTGAAAAACCCCTGAAAAGTAAGTAGATTTAAGACCCACCTGACATCTGGAGTCAGTTTTCAGGCGTACCCTGTGGTCTGATTGATTTTAGGTTCCCACTGACCTTTTTGTAATGGTAACTGTGTTAGTACCTCTGGGATACTCTTGGCTTATGTTATTTTTTTCTTTTTATAAAGGTAGCTTTTTAAATGTTGAAGGTGTTTTAATTTTTTTTAATGCTGTTTTTTCCCCAAGTCAGTTTACAAATTAGAAAAAAAGAAAGACATTTAGTAGGTACCTATCCTGGTTTTAGATTTGGAAAAATAGTCATAGTACATGGAGTGGAGTCAGAATCTCCACACTGATTTTTACATCTCCTTCCACTGGATAAGGAAGAGACTAGAACTGAATGAACAGTTTGATTGGTTCTTCTTCCTTCCCTTCAAACCCTTGATCCTGGGAATTAGCTGGAACTAGAATGACCTTTGGTTGTGGAAAGGTGGTACAGTAATTTGGGGTTTTATAGTTTATGGTTAGAGTTAAGGCCGGAGGTTCCTGGCAGCAGACAGTGCTGTGCCAGAAGGGGCCCGAGCAGTGGTGAGAGGGGAAGAGTTTGCTTAAGGTCAAGTTTCCAGACAGGCACAGCATGTGTTTTTGAACCCTGAAATGCTTCCCCTTCTATAACCCCTGTATCAAGAATGGAGGACATCAGGAAACAGAAATAGATTTGTGAATTTGTGAGTTGTCTGGTTAATACCACATGTAGAATTAAGTTACATAGAATGAGGGGGTTATAGCCTTTGAAATGCATCTGAAGTCCTTTCACATTCTCTAAGTACAGCAAACATTAGTATTTTTAGCCATCAGTCAGACGACCAGTCATCTTTTGGCATATTAAGTAAGTTCTTAAGAAAGAGGGGAGCATTTCACAAGACTCAGCCTCATTAGATGTAACAATTCAACCAGCATCTGCAGTTCTGCTAAAAGTGAAGATGAAGGAGTGGAAGCATGAGTGCAATCCCATCTCATCAGATGCCCGTGGCAGGGCCAGAAGAAAATGGAGACTCTACCAAGTGTGTCATCTAGAGTTTTTTTGTAGTGGTGCTAACCATTATTACTGTAAGGCTGTTCTAAAATGAATGGCCTGTATTAATATGTCAGTAGAACTTTGCCTTAAAACATTTTGAAAATTGAAACATAAAGTGATATCTATATTGGATGACTTTGGACATAGAGAATTCACCTTTTATTTAAGTGTTTGGTGAACTGGTTTCACAGATGCGTTTGATGACTAATATTTTTGCTTTTCCTGTTTTGTTTTTTTTTGCCTGATATAATTCTTAAGATAATTGATTTGTTTGTTAGTTTGTTTCCCTGGAACAAACCATCACACTTCTTGTCATTAAAGCTTTGAAAAGTTCATCTTGTCCTTAGAGAATTTTGCAGGCATGATTTATACAAGCACATGAAACACTGCTGCTAAGGAAAAATTTCCATTTTTTAAATGTTCTGATACATAGATGATTTATGATCGGCAGATATGTTTCATATTACTTGGGCAAATATGACATTCTTATGATACCAGCAATATATATAATTCCTAGGGTTATATGCAATTCATTAAAATATCTTTTTATTTTTATTTTTCTGCAGAAGAACTTCCTCACTGGGTACTGTCAGCAATGAAGTGTTTGGCAAATTGTAAGTACTAATTGTTTGCCAGTTTTATGAAATTAACAGAAATTAGTGCCCTGAATTAGAATATATTTTTGCTGGTCCTCTTTTCTCTGGCACCGTGGAGGTGGTTGGCTGCTTCAAGATGAAGTTGAACATCTCTTTCCTAGCCACTGGCTGTAGGAAACTCATTGAAGTGGATGATGAATGTAAACTTCGTACTTTTTATGAGAGGCATATGACCACAGAAGTTGCTGCTGATGCTCTGGGTGGAGAGTAGAAGGGTTATGTAGTTCGAATCAGTGGTGGGAATGACAAGGTTTCCCCGTGAAGCAGGGGGTCTCGACCCATGGCCGCTTCTGCCTGCTGCTGAGCAAGAGGCATTCTGGTTACAAGCCAGGGAGGACTGGAGAGCGAAAGTACAAATCAGTTCAGGGTGGCACTGTGGATGCCAATCTCAGTGTTCTCAACTTGGTCATTGTAAAAAAAAAGAGGAGAAAGACGGTTCTGGTCTCACTGATACTACTGTCCCTCGTCACCTGGGGCCCAAAAGAGCTAGAAGCATCTGCAAACTTTTCAACTTCTCTAAAGAATACGATGTCCGCCAATATGTTGTGAGAAAGCTCCTAAACAAGGAAGGTAAGAAACCTAGAACCAAAGCACCTAAAATTCAGCATCTTGTTACTCCACGTGTCCTGTAACACAAACATTGGCCCATTGCTCTGAAGAAGCAATGTTCTAAGAAAAATAAGGAAGAGGCTGCAGAGTATGCTAAACCTTTGGGTAAGAGGATGAAGGAGGCCAAAGAAAAACACCAGGAGCAAATTGCCAAGAGACGTAGGCTGTCCTCTCTGAGAGCTTCTACCTCTGAGTCTGAGTCTAGCCAAGAATGAGGTCTTCTAAGAGTAACAAATAAATAAGGATAAACATAGAGAAAAAAAAAGAATATATTTTTGCTCAATGGTCTGAACATTGATTTGACACCTGTGAGACTGGTAGTTAATTGTTTGGGGATTGCTGTACTTTTAGTGATAAATCTGTCGCAGGTTGAAAGGGCTGAGTTACAGAATGCTTTTAAAGGAATTTTGTGCTTTTATTTCCTAGTGGATTATTTTTATTCCTAAGTATGTCCTATATTTACATCATCAATTTGCTTAACAGAGCCTGTCTACCATTGGCCTCTTACAGGGTAATAGTTTACGTAGGAGAGAAATGGTTTAGAAGACTAGTCTAATGGTACGCAGGGTGGTTTGGGAGGAGAAGGACCTGCATGCAGAGAAACAGGAAAGACTGTTTCAGTAATGCAACCAGGATGCCTCAGTCAGGGTGGGCCCTCTGACCTTGTTCATCAAAATCCATTTTGCAGGTATGATATCTACTTTATTGGATATCATAGGCACTGTGAAGCAATGAGTGGTTTCTCACTTCATACTATTTTGGGGGGGATTTTCTCAAACAAATGATTTTAATGAGACGAATCCTATGATTTTGGTTGACTGATAGTGGTGAGGTTTAGTCTCCAGGGCCCTTTGCAGTCTCACCTGCAGGTCACCGCTGAGAGGTGGTTTCTTTCATCCCTTTTGAGTGAGACTAGTATGTACAGAGACAGGTGTATAAAGACTTGAATTAGTAGACTCTGAATTATTTATGTAACTGAAGTTAGTTTTGTTTGATTAGAATGAAACTAAAATAACTATTCAGCTTGCTCGGAGTGATCTCCGTGGTGACATACAGAAAATGATTATATACTATTGATCTGAATGTGACTAGCCATATAAGTTTGTGTGAACCCCAAAGTTCCGTGTGTTTAACTATTAAGACTATCATAATTTTCCGGTTAATATTTTGGAACCTCTGAGATGTAGAGTTCTGTGGTTTTCCCTTGGGACAGTCATTTTTATTCTTGTTCAATCACTTGAAATCAATTAAATTTAAATGATATCTTTGGCCAGAGTTAGCAATGACAAGATGGAAGGTGTAAATGGGAGGTTAAATTACCCATTTTTGAATTACTGGCAAATTTAGGATCTGGTGGTTGATCAGCAGGGAATGAACGGAGGAAGCCAGAATAACAAATCTAGGCTATAATATGTTGTAAAATGTGTGTGTGTAATTGTTGACACTATTAAGGTGTGGTTATGATGTTGAATTTTCAGATGATCAAAACTTACTGAAGAGTATAGTTTTTCCTCAAGGAAGATGCATCATAAAGCCACAAAATTTTGCAGAAAGGTTCAAATAACTGGAATTTCTCATGAATGGAGAAGAGAGATGTGAAGAGCAACTTAGTAATTTTCTACATGTGTGTCAGGTGGTAGTATATTAGGTGGAAATTCTTGGGGACAGGCACATGTCTCATATGTATCAAGTGCAGTGGATGGTTGGTATATTCATAGATATTTATGTATCAAAGAAGAAAAGGTGGTCAAAGGGCAAGGCCAGCCTTTTGAATAATTGTATAAAATTATTAATTTCCCAAATTCTTATTGGTCCCCCAAATTTGTTTTGAGTATATTAAAATTCTGGCCTATTCCTTACCCTTCTTTATTTTGAATGAATCTAGATTCCCTTAGAGTCATCTAGAAGGGAACGGAAAGGATAGCCTGATTATATGATGTTTTGAAGGCCTAGTGCCTTCTTTTCTGTAAATCTGCTGCCTCCTTCATTCCTTTAAGCCTGTCTGTATTTATGGTGGATCACGTGTACATTGTCCTGGGTACTTCTGTTGTTGACCAGCCTTATGGTTGACCACAGAATGAAAGACCAACGCTAAATACATATAAAGCCTGGTTAACTGTGTTTTGTTCTTTGTGCATGTAGATTGCAAGGATTCAATCAGAAATGGATACAAACAGCTCTTCCAAAATCTGTCAGAATAACATTTATAAAAAACTAGTTTAAAAAATATTCTGAAATTCAAGATGCTTTAGAAATAAAAGATCTTAGAAATATGGCCTCTTCTGTAGAGGTCAGTATGCACTGGCATTTTTAGGGAAACTCACCCCTGCCTGCCTTTTTTTTTTTTTTTTTTTTTTTTTTTTTTTGCATATGATGAAATGTTCAGAAAAGGGTACAGTTGCTTAGAATGCACTGCATACTTATTCTGGGAGGGAGGAAGTTGAGGCGATGTGGCGAGACACATCACGCCAGTGACAGTATTTCCATTGACTAAGCCTGCAGTATTAGAGGAGAAAGCAGGTAAAAATGGTGGCTGTGTTTGCTGCTAGGTTAATGTGGTACCATACATAGAGATCTTTCAAAATTTTTATTATTTCAGTCGATAAAATTAAGCTATTTGATAAGAAGTATACTAGACTATTAAAAGGTAAGAAAAATTTTTAAAAGCCACATTCACAATTTCTCAGTGGCCTTGGAATGTGAAGGCCCAGAGTGCTTGTCTTTTTTAGTTCGATGCTTTCTCTTTGATTATATAGCAGGTTCGTAGTTTGAATTTCCTTTCAGTTTTCACTGGCTTCATCTTTCATTCTGGGGGTGGAGATCTATATGGGTACAGTTGTTTAGTCTTGTGTTCTGGCCCAGAACTGGCCAGTGCTGTGAAGGAGATTGGGAAGGCTGGCTGAACTATTCCTCATGGGACTACTTGCCATGTCCCTGACGGTGCAGGGCTGTCCTTCGTCTCTCCACGTGGCAGTGAAGTCTGTGGCCTCTGTATGGATTGTTGGGGCATTTGCTGCCAGCTCTGTAGAGAGCTAAGCATTTCTTGCTCCTCTTTGGTCCCACATGCGAGTGGATCTTTGCCTTGCTGCTGGCATAGGGCAGGGCTGGGGTCAGGTTGTTCCAGGCTTCTTACTGTGACTCCAGCTGCAACAGGACTCTGCTTGATTCACTGTCTTCTGATGGTTGGTTGGGGGTCAAATAGAGTTTTGTGATCAGAATGAATTACAAGACACAAGGTAAAATCTCTTTTCAGAATATCTTTAAGAAGAAAATGTATAAATTCTTATCAGTCTGAAATAGTGTAGAGGCAGAAATTGATTATTTCACTCAGCTCTGACTCTAGAATTTTATAATCTAGAAGTGATAAAATAATGAAAAGCTTTAAAATGTCCTTGTAACTTGTCTATTATACATGTGAGCTAATTGTCATTATGGTCAGCTGTAACAAAACTAGGAAAATACTGAATATTTCAAAGGAAATTACCATTCTTTACATTGAGTAAAAATGCCTTTCAGAAGGGCATAAAAGAAAGAGTAGGTTTTTTAGAAATGGAAGTAAGCCAGTGATTTTACTCACTGTTTTATAATAGATTTCAATTTAGAAATAAATCATATTTGTGTAAACAAAATGTATGGCAATTTATTTCATGTCAATTTTCCCAATGAAATCTTTTTCAATCTTCACTGTGCACAGAGACTAATACTTAGAGGTGGTTGTCATGCTAATGGTTCTCTTCCTATCTCTTTCTCTCTCTTTTTTTTTAAAATAGGGCCTAACTGTTCAGATTTGAAGCAGCCTACATATTTAGGATTTGAAAAGGATGTCTTTAAAACAATAGCGGATTACTATGGTCACTTGAAAGAGCCTCTGCTTACCTTTCATCTCTTTGATGCCTTTGTCAGTGTTTTAGGTAAGTTGGAATATAATGAGCATCTATACCTTCATATCAAATTATTGCATTTTCACTGTCACGAGACTTCCATTAGCCAAACTTCCAGAAGCATGCTGAAATTAAAACTGATGGGTTACTTGCCTAGTTGGTGTCCTGCTTTCGAAGGAGGAAAAGAAAATGGTTAAGCTATATTAGGAAACTCAAAGCAAGGGCTGCTGATTATTTCTTTATAAAGAACATTATGTTGTATGTCTTTTTTGAACAAAAAAAGTGTGACTTTATCGGTAGAGAAGAATATAAATTTGACACTTACTGTTCATGAATAAATCTGCTGCTCCAAATGTGACTTCGTGAACTGTCAGGTATGGGAGATGTATTTTTATTTAAAAATCTAATTTCTTATAGCAGGAACAGATTTGTGCAGAACTATTTGTTAATTGTGACATGTAAAATAGAGTAACTTTATCTGTCTCTAACACTTGTTCCTCATGTAGATCGATACTTCAGAATCCATACCCTAAAAAACATGGTAAAAGCAAAAATTCAACATATTGCTATAGGTCTTTCTGATACTGTTTTTTTTTCCTAGGAAATCAGAGTTTCCTCTTGCTGTTATGATTATTTAATAAGTACTGTTGTTTTCTTGTCAGAAGATTTGGTTTAATCACTAAATTTTTGTGTGGGTACCTTACTATGTTATGCAAATTTGTAAGAATTAGCAGTCTCTTCCCTTTTTCTTCTTTCAGTCTTACTTTCTTGGAAAGTATGGGTGCTGCTCTAGTATCTTAACAATGTATTAACAATATGTGAATAATTTACTGCTCTTATAACATGGTACCTTAAATTTTTAAAATATTTTGTAGGTTTTCTTATAATGAGGAACAAAAATAACAATTATAAATCATGTGCATAAGAGTGAATTTTGTTTTTAAAGAGACCAATGTTGGGGACAGATGAAGGGATTAGTCCTGTTACTGAGTTTTGAGGCCGCTGGGTGTTCTTCTTGGTGTTTCGTGTTCAACCAGGGAGGACTGGAGGCCTAGGTGCTTGTGAATATCATGCCTAATGATGATGAATACCTGCTGTTATTTAATATGTGTGTGGACTGACTGAGTAGGTTTTCATTATAGCCACTTGACTGCCATTATGCTACTGGTAAAAGAATTCTAAAGACTGGCTTAAAAATCACTTGTTAGATTTTCCCCCCTCATTTTCCATTTTTATAATGTCTTATTGTATAATTATCTGTTTTAGAACTGAAAGGACTTGAAACTTTTGAAAAATGAAGTCTAATTTGAGTCCGTTGTATTTATGCTATCACTGGTCTATTTTACCACGATTTTCATTTTGAAGTCAGCTAGGAATTAAAGCTGATTATTTCCAAGTTGATGTCAGAGTCATCACCCTCTAAAATATCATCTGTCGAGGGGTTAGTGTGCAGAAGGCTAGATAGAATGGAGAATTTTCCTGCACTTGGGTATCAGCAGGACTAGACCAGTAATGTGTGCCGATGGTCACGATGGACTAACCTTCCCTGATCCAGACCTTCTTACGTGAATACATTCGAGACACTGCGCATTGAAACCCATATTCTTATGTAGTAAAAGCAGAAAGTCCTCTAGATTATGGAAGACTATTATTTGTTTATACGATTAACAAAGATTATCTGATAGAGAAATCCTGTTAGAGCCTATGAGAGAAGACATCATCTAGAAACTGCATCAGCAAAGCAGATGTGCAGATTGAACCCCAGTAGGGTTCGCTCCTCCTTAAACCTTCAACTTCCTTTGGTTGGAACAGGATGCCATTGGGTGAAAATGTTTTAAAGGAGGTAATCAATCTGTTTTGTGTAGAAGCTAAAAACCCTACAGCATTTCAGTGGAAATGATTTTCAGTTCTGTTAATACATTTCTTCCGAGGCCTATTTTTTTACATCCAGCATGAAATGAATGCTCTCCTGGTGCCAGAGCTGTGACCTGAGAGCAGTTAGTCATACGGTATATGAAACAGGACATCGAAGAGTTGTTAAAGGGAAATAAGAGACATGTTTGGAGATGTAGGACTCATTCTTTACTTACAATTTTAAAAAAGATGTAATTTCACTCAGCAGTCTGACCTACCATAACTATTAGTAATAATTAATCTTATTTTCTTTTATATATATTATTATTGTTCAGTTACAGTTGTCTCACTATTTTCCCCATTGCCCTCCTCTGCCTTATCCCCCCCCAACTCCCAAAGTCAGTCCCCTCACCCTGATCGCGTGTGCCCACAAGCCCTCTATTCATGTGCCTTAGCTTGCCCCTTCCCTTCTTTCCCCTATTCTCCCCCTCCCCTCCTTCCCTCTAGTCATTGTCAGGTTGTTCTTTATTTCCATGTCTCTGGCTGTATTTTGCTCATTTGTTTGTTTTGTTGATTAGGTTCCACTTATAGGCGAGATCATATGGTATTTGTCTTTCACCACCTGGCTTATTTCACTTAGCATAATACTCTCCAGCCCCATCCGTGCCATCGTGAAGGGTCAGAGTTCTTTTTTTCTGCTGCATAGTATTCCATTGTGTAAATGTACCACAGTTTTTTGACTTCTCATTTACATAGTAATTAATATTTGTTTTAAAAAATAAAGATCCTTGTATTAAGATTATAATTTGTCTGACTCTTGAATGGGTCGAATGAGGTACTGTAGTGTCATTTACTCACGCTGCGCACACACTCTAGAATTTGTGTAACTTGCAATAATTTGGCATATTGAGGAAAGAGGAGGCAGACGGGAAGCACAGTAGGGCATGGGAGCAGGGAAGAGTACTTCAGAAAATTGGATGACTTGTGGATTCGTATGTGTAATGTTATAATCTGAGCTCCCCCCCTGGTGCTCTGTGGGCCATATCTGGCTCATAAACACATCTGGTTTGACCTGGGTGTTTTTAAAAGAAATTTAACTAACTGTCAAACTCTAAGAAATAAAAAATTTACGTAAGAATTTATAATTTTGTCTTTAGAAAAAACTGGAAGATCTGGCGGTTGTGGGCTTGAATTTTCAGTGGCACAAACTGCTGCAGCTGTGTAATGTCTCCACTAGGAGGGGCTATTGTTTCAGGAACATGAATTGCAATTTGCTGAGTCTCCAATGCCTCCCATTGCTTTTCAGACTCTAAAGCCAAGTTCACTTGCTCATTTATTCCATTCGTCTGTTCCTCTAGGCAGCTGAGCCCAAGACCCCTGGTTTATTTGCTAGTAGGCTGGAAAACTGAGATAGTAGCTGTTTGTTGTTTCTTCTTCCTAAACGTTAAGTTAGAAGATACCATTAAAATTGATTGTAGACTGGATCATCTGATCAATAGGTTGAGATTTCCCCCTGTATTTTTAACCTAGAAATATCCATAAGGTTAAGTTTTCTATTCCTTGGTGCCTTTGGTGACTTCTAAGAAATCTTTGGTGATGTGCCTTGTTACCCTCGCCTTGTTACCTCTCCGTACTTACGTTCTTCAAGTTATCTCGGGGTCCTTACCCAGTGATGACTCCTAAGGGAAAATAGTTCTTGTTTTGCAGAGAGTGCCTAGGTGGTGTTCTTGACCAGACAGAGGGCTCTTGCCCGTGTGAGTCCCAAGTGCTTGCTGTTGGTGCTCTCTGCTCTCAGGGCGCAGGGCTTGCTTATGGCTGGAGCTTCTGAAGATGCAGATAGGCCAAGGTGAGGATATTGAAGCACCTTCAAATGTAATGACACTGTTGTGTAGAGATTGTTGGCTAAGTGGCTTGAGGTACTCCTGAAAGGTGGAAATTTAGGGAAATGCCTAGGTATTTCCTGGCTACAACTAAATACATTAAGCTATTTATAAGCATACTGGTAATTACTAGGATAATTGAAAAAAATTTTGGGGAAATAATTTCATACCTTTCTCATACTATTCAGCAGGATAAATTCCAGCTGGGTTACAGAATTAAATGTAAAAATTACAAATCTAAAATATAGTTGGGGTGGATGAAGGGCTTTCTAAGCATAAAAGCAAAAGAAGTCATAAATATGCAGAAGCATTGGGATCCTTCATAAAGGAAAGGGCATCATCTTGTGCGTGGGTGAGTCTGTATCTACTTTTAAGCAATTCACAAAGGCAACTTGTTTGCCTTTCTCTAAAAGCCTCTAAGGGAATAGTCTCTCTTGCTGTGTCTTTCTTCAGGCAGGGTTTTCTTACCAATTGATGTGTGGTCTGAATTCTTTTGGCTTAGTATAAACCTCTTCCTTTTTAAACCCCTTTTCAGTGAAAATGAAATTGTGACATATTTTTTGTCCCTTTGGTTGTTGGAAAACTGCAGTGAAACTTTCTTGAGTCTCTTGTTCTGTGGCTGAAGAGATGTGGTTGCAGTGGCCTTTCTGGGAGCAAATTCCAGGCCCTCTCAAAAGTCTTTATATTTTACTTCTTTTTCAAAGCGCCCATTAGGAACTATTCCTTATATTAACGTTACAGATGCTAGCAGACTGATTAGGTCTACTTTGCCAAAATGAAAATTTGTTTTCTTAATTATTTGAAAATGGAAATTTGATGTAACCATGGGGAATGGGAGGGAGGGTGACACAGGCAGGTTATTATGGCTAAAGTGTCACCTAACCTAGCATAGAATATTATAAATTTTTATTGATTTTGGTTTTATTTATTTCTATTTTAAGAAATAGTTGGGTTTCTTTGAGTATTAAATTATTTATTCACTTATGGTTCCTCAATCGAGGTAAATAATAAAATGGCTTTATGATTGAAAAACTCACAGATCATTTGGTGAATTTTTTATTATCTTTCCTTTCTTTTTTAAAAAAATATATTTTATTGATTATGCCATTACAGTTGTCTCATTTTCCCCCTTTTTTTCCCCTCCACCCTGTACACCCCCTCCCACCCACCTTCCCCCCTTTAGTTCATGTCCATGTGTCACAAGTTCTTTAGCTTCTACATATGCCACACTGCTCTTGCCCTCCCCCTATTTTCTCCCCACTGTCTATGCTACTTGTTCTCTGTACCTTCTCCCCT